CAGTCAAACCAACGATCTGACAGTGCTGCTGTTGTGCTGAGAGCTCCCATGGAGGAGTTTTGCCAATCCTGTTTGGGGTGCATAGATCCTCTCTCTCCCAGTTTGTCTTCATCATCTCCACATGTGTCTGTGGTACCCAGTGAGCTGCTGTTTAATCACAAAACGTCCTCCTCCTTCTCTGCTTCATCAGCTTTCTCTAAGTCTGTCTCCGTCACCAACCACACCGCAGGGAAACTCAGGTACTACTGCCTTCCTTTAATTGTGGCTTCTCACTATGTCATGATCAACATACTTTTTTAATGTATGAAACTGTCATAGAGTATCTGTTTTATTATTTTTGTTGCCCAATATGGCTCCTTTTGCACATGATTCTACTCCAGCCTGATGTGGACCATTGCCCAGAATTCTCCATTCACTGTCTCCCCCTCATCATGTGACCTGGCTCCACTGAAGTCTACTTCATTCATAGTGATGTATAACCCCAAGCAGCCCAATACCCTGCATGGAGCACAGCTTGAGTGCTTTGCATACTATAAGGTAATGTTATAGGGAAAAACAACAGTAAAAAGTCAGTTGCAACAAGTTAGGGTACTTTTCTTGTTTCAGTTAATATGTCAAAAAGTGTGTGTTAAATTTGTCTAATTTTTTGCTGATTTGTCCCCCTGTTGTGAGGAAAATCCAAGCCATTTTTATGTAACAAATTTTGGTTTTGCTCCTTCCCTCTCTGGATCCTGCAGAACAGTCATCACAAAGGTGAGCAGCTGCTGTGCCTGCCCTGGTGTGTGACCGTCAGAGTCACTGGCCACTCCTTTCAGCCAGGCAAGGAGCACTTCGCGCCATGCTGCTCCCTGAAACCTCCTCGAGTGGTAAGACACAAGTACAAGAATGAACACAAATGCCTATAATACACATTATCGCTCTCTCTCCCTCTCTTCTCTTTTTGTATATACAGTATATCCATCTCCCCTGTTTGGTTCTTTATCTCTAGTTTCACGATTCTGTCAATAAACAGTAAAAAATTATGATGGTATTTAAGGTGCTGTAAGAGTTGAAGGCTGTATAACTAAAATGTCCCTGTGAATCCAGCATAATTGACATTATATTACTGTTAAACACTAGGAGCGGATAATATGGCTTTTTGTTCTTTCTAGGTCTTTCCAGCCCTGAATGCTCCTTCCTATAAGACAGTGCTCCTCCAGAATATTGGGGATCTGCCTCTTACTTTCTGTTTGGACCATAGCTCAAACCCTGCCCTGTCAGAATCAGTGTCTGTAACTCCAAACAGTGGCCTGATCCACCCTGCTGATCACCAAATTCTCACCCTCAGAACAACTCGCACAGAAGACAGTCCCAAAGAGGGGTTTATTTTAAAGCTGCAGCTCAATGCAGCTAAACACACAGAGGTACTATATAGACGACACAGACACAAAGGACACAAGCAGTAACACTGAGGCACACTGTTCTGCAGGGCTTTCTGTTTGTTAATGTCTTTGTCTTCTTTAGGAACTGACAATTGTCAGTGTGGTGGAAAAGCTGTGTATGTCTCTGGGTGGAGACAGCAGTTTATATTTCCAGCCAACAGCTGTGGGCTCACGAGCACAGCGCTCCCACCACATCAGGAATCTCAGCCTTGTACCTCTACGGTTGGTTGGCTAATATGAAATCCTGGTGTTATTTATCTGGTCCTGTATTTCTGACATTGTTCAGTGTTTTGTTTGTAGACTGGAAATATCCCTGCGTGGTCCTGTATTTCTGACATGGTTTAGTGTTTTGTTTGTAGACTGGAAATATCCCTGCTTGTCCACAGCTGGCTTTACTAGCTTTATGTGATTATCCTTTATGATAGGTTCCAGTGGAGCATTCCTGAGTCAGACCAGGACATTATCTTTGTTGAACCAAATGCTGGTGAACTGCATCCCAATGAGAGCTCAGTAGGAGATTGAGAGAATCACACATACATTTGTATAAAAAGCAGCTTTGCAAATTGTTCAATAAATGACAGAGCTGTTGACTTTATTTACTTCTATCACAGGAGCAGACATGGTTCTTCAGTCCGCTAGAAGAGAAAACATACACAGTCAAACCTATTCTCACCTTCTGGCCAACCCAGACTGATGGATGGAACAAGTCACACCTTACTCTTACAGTGGTGGGAATGGGCTCTACAGGCTTCATAAAGGTGGGAGTGTCATTGTGTTTATGTGATTTTATGTCTTTGTAGATACATGGTTATATCTATATGTTCATGTGCTGTAATTACATGTCAATTTTTAAGAAAATTCAAATTTCCACTCACATTTGGAGCATGATTTGATTGAACCAAGCTGTGCGTGCATGTTTGTTTCCTCCCCAGGCAGAGAGAGCAGTTGTGGATGTTGGAGAGACTCAGGTTGGAAGTTACCGCTCAATTGAAGTTCCTTTAGTGAACGGCAGCCCTTGTCCTGTGTCCTTCTGCCTCTCTGTAAAGCAGATCCTTTTGGAAGAGGGACTTATTTATGACTCTGTGACTGAGCCAAGTGGTATTCTCTTTTGTGGTGTTCTCTGTGGTCATTTTATATATGTGATATTCATCATTTCTTGACAGAGTATTTGATTTTTAGCATCTGTTAGCAGAGCAAATGAACAGTTATCACTGTAGAGCTCATTGACCACTGACCATGACTGAGACAGATATACTGTAGTTAATCAGTGTTGTAGATTAAATATATTCTGTTGGCCCGGTTAGGTCTAAAGCTGGACTGTGAGAGGGGAACCATCGCCTCGCATTGCACAATGCTGCTCCGAGCAATTGTCAAACCACAGAGGCGAGCCCAGTACTTGTGGACTATCAACTACCACACACTGAATGCCAGAGGTGGATAAAAACACACACACAAACTCTACAAAGCTGAATATATTCTGCAATTTATTTCCTGGTACATTATACGTTCTTCCTCTCTCTCCTCCCAGGGTTTATGTCTTCCCCTCCTCAGGCAGTGTGTGAAGTACGAGCTAAAGGTGTGTTCCCCACTATACAGGTGATTGATGTGTGCAGTGGTGGCAGTGTATGCAGACTCGGCAAGGTGCATCTATGGAAGCTCTTCTCATTGGACAGCTTCAACAAACACCTGCTGTCCAACCCCTCCCCTGAAGAGCTCACTTATAGAACCCCCACCAGGCACAGGTTAGGGGAAGGATATAGAAACACTGAAATTCATTGTAATTGTAATTCATATTTATCTTTTACTATTAAAGAAAATTGAGTCAAGCCATAATACACTGATTTTTGCAGTTTCCTTAAAACTATAGTATGTACTTTAAGGTAGCACTAGCATGAAACTCCAAATCAATCCACTCTGCTCTGCCCAGCACTCCCTCTCCCTGCTCCCTGCTCCCTGCTCCACTATGCTCTACTACGATCTACTACGATCTGCTACGCTCTGCCCAGCTCTTCAGATACAGTATTTGTCATTATGGAATTACAAGAAAATTGAATGCAATAAAACTTACTGATCAAGCAGAAATAATGGAAAATCTGTGATTGGTCAGAGAGGCCAATCCCACTCAAAACCTTTTAGGAGCTAATATCTCTGCACTGCTGCCAGTGCTGTTCACTGAGTCTGGTTCACAGGAGGCTTCGAGAGCACCTCTCCACATTAAGTCAAGTTTTGGAGCATTTTTCTACAACAAAAATATTTTTAAAAAGTAACATACTGTAGCTTTAAGTGAAATAGACATCTTGTATTTACATTGTCAGGGTATATGGTGTGTGGCATGTCTTTGTCCTCTCCATGTCTCTAGTCTGCGCAGTTGTCCTTCCATCTTCACCGAAACAATGCTGGATATTAACTTCAGTGCCGCTCCCTTGAATTCAGATCCTTCCATTTTTGTACTGATGTTTCACAACCCTGGCTCCATCCCTGTAGACTGGTCAGTAAAAAATAAAATAAAAAAAAAAACAGATTACAGAAAATACTGTACAGTCATCCGAAATCATCTAAGATTTTTGGAAGACTGTCTACTGATCTTACGTCCACTGACTGTTGAGCTACTTTTTTTGGCTTGCTCTTCAATATTAGGGCATTCTTGTTTCCAGAGGACCAACGCATAGAGTTGGAATATTGGGCAGAGATAGGAGAGTACAGCAGCACTGAGCTGCACCAGATGAAGGTCAGATGTCTTATCCTTTATCTAAAAACATGAAGAAATTTTATGAATATTAAATATTAAAAATGACTGAGGTTCATATTTCAGAACAGGACATTTCAACTTTAAAAAAGACAGAGTAACAAAAGCACATGTTCATGTCATTGACAGGTTCAAGACAACCGTCTGTTCAGCATATCTCCTCGTTCTGGAACTTTGCACCCAGGCCAGCAGAGGGCAGTGCACTTCAGCTACAGGTCAGAGATTATTGCACAGCATACATCTCAGACTGGTGAACAAGTCAGGGAATGTGGTAATATTGGCAATAACAATTACACTTTACTGTGTTTTATGAATTATTATGACTGATACTGGTGACAAAGTAAATAATTTTTAGCAGAATGTAGCTATTTCAGGCATTAGATCGCATTAATAATTTGATCCCAAAATAATCTAAACTTTTTCTTCACAGCCATGACTTTGTTGGGACAGATCGGTTTCCTGTCGTGTTGAAAGTCTCTTATGGCAGAGAGATATTGGTGAGGCAGAAATTCACATAAGTTCACATAAGGCTTATATTTATTCAAGTCTAAGGTCACTGATAAAATAATTGCTAGACAATAATAGTATCATCAACATCATTTTTTTTCTTGCTGTAATTAACAGTTTTCTCACTTCTATTAATCTGCGTTCAGACTGAGTCAGGTAAAATGCAACACCCTGCTGTGTTTTTATGTGGGGGCTGTGTTGGTAGGGGGATGAGGGATTGCAGGGGAGTGTTGTAGGCGTGTACAACATTGTCACAAGTTGACATGAGTGGCTCCATTCAAGGGCAGCTGTGGCTCAGGAAGTAAAGCGGTCATCTCCTAACTGGAAGGTTTGATTCCCGCCCTGCCCAGTCCACATGTTGAAACCTCCATGGGCAAGCCAATGAATCTCAATCAATCGATTCCATTGTTAAAGGATTGATATCTGCGGCAAACACGGTCCCACATATAAATGACTGGGGAGAGCTGCATTTTTTTGACACTTTTGAAACTCATTCTGAACGTGGCCTTATGCAGTTGATAGTGCTCTTCCAGTATTGTCTCTTTTACCTGCTGTCGAGCTGAATCATGTGTTCTGTTCACAGCTGAACTTCCAGGGAGTGACACTGCAGAGAGACAGACCATATCTCCACTTTGCCTCCAATCGACACGTCTTCACCTCTGTAACTATTGGGGATTGCAGTCCTCCGAAGCAGGTGTGCACTTAATTTTTGTAACACAGTTATCAGTATCATTGTAATGTATTAATTAATTAATGTAATGTTATTAATTAACATAATGTAATATTTCACCTATTAACTCATATGCAGTGGATCAGAAGGAGTTTTCCTTCCCCAGATTCTTAACTTGTTAACTCACTTGTTTCAGTATTCTAATGCTCGTTAGACTGGGACACCTTCCTCTGTTAAAAACACTTCAAACTGCAACTTAAGCTTCTGTAAAAGTTTAGACAAAACCTGGAAAGCCGTATTTGTTTATCTTTGTTTGTCCTGCAGGTGTATGAATTACACAATGCTGGTGCATTGCCAGTCCATTATGTAGTGGACACAACCGTGTTGTCACAGATTCAGGTGGACAACTTTAACCATCCAGTGCTGTGCTGCCTTAATCCAGAGGGACAGGTCCTACCTGGGGAGACAGCCATGCTGGAATGGATCTTCTCTCCACTGGAGGCTAAGATGTACCACGTGTGTGCTATTCTGCCTACATTCTGTTGCCTCTTACAATTGTCTCTTCAAAGACTTCACCAAGTGTTCTCATCAGTAGCACTGTTATCTTTAAGATAATAATTTAGAAGTCAAATTGGAACAGAAACATATGCGACTAAACATCATTAGTAACAATTCTTATGTACCCAGCTAGAGGATTAAATGGATTTTCATTCATTTGTTTATTCAGAATAATGCCACACACCAAAGCATTTATACTATTAGCACATCCTGGGGGATATTTACTAAACCTGTTGCAATTACTGTTAGGAGCACCAAATATTGCACAAAATATTACTAACACTGATGATGTAAATGAGCACAACCACAACAGTGTTCACTTGAATACACCTCTGCTTATAAGGACTTGCTACCTGTAGGATGTTTCGCACATGTGGACCGAGAGGGTGTGTTGAAGAAAGTAAGTTTGTCTAGTGATTTTGATTGTTTCTGAATTTGTCTCACTAGATGGAGGTTCCTATCCATATCCAAGATGGGGACTCAACACTGGTGAGGTTTGAGGGAAGTGGACTTGAAACTCTAATAATGGGCTGTTCAAACCAGTTTAACTGCACAGAGGCTAAGGCACCTGTACCCTGTGTCCAGAGGGTGCCCTTCCTAGGACAGGTGAGAGCAGTTATAAACAAAGCCGCTGAATCTGAATATCATTCTGATCATGTTTTAATGTAAATCTCAGGTCATTCAGGTTCTGAAAAATACCAGTGGTGTAGTCCTCATAAGTTATCTTGCCTTTGTGTTTCTAATCTTTTTAGACTTTTTGCATTCATCTCATTGTGTGTGTGCAGGTGGTATTTCTGTCTGAGGACAGCATCCCTCTAGGTGACATCCCTGTGTGCTCCCAGGCTTCAAGAATCTTCTTTCTTACCAATGTGTCTCTCACAGACACAGTTCATTACATATGGGACCTGCCCCAGCAGAGCAACCAGCAGGTACATGGTCCACATTCAACTGCGAAGCAGTAATTCTAGTTCATGTACAATTTAAAACAAACAGCTTAGATAGACTACAGTGAAAATACAGGCTTTAGAGTACAGCCTTAACGCAGCAAAGGTGATTGCACCTGTGATTTCCATGAACAAGGTTATAAAAGTTTTGAACATTACAGCATTGCCAGTTGTGGCCTGGGTTGTCTAATGCAACTTGGTAAGGAGTGGCATGAACAAGAAACCAGACTGTGAGACTTAAAAATGGGAGAGTGTACAAAAACATCAGTAGGCTACTGAATGTAAATAGAAACACACTTGGAGCAGTGGTTAGGGGGAATAGGAACTCAAAAATGACACCATGCACAATTTGCTGTTTACACAACCTTGTTTTGAGTGACTGCTTCTGACTTGGCACAAGGATTATTTGTGAAACTTGGTGTTTCATGGACTGCTCAGACACTGTGGACAACACTGCACTCAACCTATAGACAAAGACCAAGAAGAAAATCATTGTTCTCAAAATGGTAACTGCAAGTATAAACTTTGGTAAAGAACACAGAAAGAAACCTGATGAATACTGGTATGGCATTCTGTGGTCAGATGAAACCAAAATACATTTGTTTGGATCAGTTGAGGTCCAGCATGTCTGTCGTGAACCCGGTCATGACTGCCACAGTGAATGCATGGTACCAACCATGAAACATGGAGGTAAGAATGTGCTGATAATGGGGCTGCATGAGAGCAAAATGAACAGGGGAGATGATGTTTATAAATGGCACGCTGAGTGCAAGTTTGTATACCAGAGTGTAACTACTTAACATTTTAGTAATACTGACAGTTTTGTTGTATACTGTTTATAAATGATCTTGTCTTTTTTTCTTTGATTAGCTTGAAAAGACTAACATAACATGTTCACAAAGTTGCGTATGTGTGTGTGTTGTGGCAGGTGGTGCAGATCCGTCCGGAGCGAGGCAGTCTCTGTCCAGGGGAGATTGCTCTTTGTGTTCTTACCTTCACTTCTACCGACTACCCCACTGTGTATCAGCTAGATCTGATCTGTCAGGTACCCACAGCAGTATATCTCTAGATTTGAAGCTGCATATTTTGTTTTATTTTATTTTTTAACTTGTCATTCTGGTCCTGGTTGGTGCACTGCTTTTATGTTTTCTGTGATAAGCCTCATGTTCTCCTTCTCCTTCTTTCCCTCTTCTTCAGGTTATTCAGGAAGCAGCACTGGTTCAATATCAAGATGCTTTGCAGCGTTGGAAGGATGAGAGAGTGAGACAGGAAGATGAATTTATAGTCACAGATAAAAACCTTACAGAGAGTCAAAGAGTTTTGACAGATAAGGTCCAAATCTCACAAACAAATTGTCATATTTTCAAAATGATATAACTGTTTTAATTACCATATTCACCTTTGTCTTGTTACAGGAATCTCCACTTAGAAAAGGGCCATCACTCAGGAAATATAAGGTAATGTCAGCCCTTTGCATGAATATTATGGTAATCATATTCATTTATAAACATACAGTAAAGAATGCACTGTAAACCTTTGGGGATTTCTAAAGCTCTGTTTAATTTGACTGCACCTTTATGTCTCAATTCCTCTCCCTTCCAGACTCTTCCTCCTATCAGTGCCAGTAGTAGTTGTAAAACAGTGGGCACCATATGTGAGAAGCTAACAAAGGTTGAACGGCGGGCATATCGAGAAACTGTTAATGTATGGAGGCAGCCTGAGCTTCCTCAACCTGCCCTGCTGCATCTGTGGGTTACAGCACACTCCCACAGTGTTCAGGAGTACCTCACACACCTTCCTGACCAGTTCAATAAGATTTATAGGTAAGGTCTTTCACTGTCCACACTTAATATCACTCAGCAAAATCCAGACTAAACGTTTACATAAGAATTTACAAAAAAACCTTCTTATTTGAAGTTTATGAAATTAGTTATCATTCCTCTTTCATAAATGTCCCCGTTCTCCAACCTCCATGCTTTTATCTCTGCTGTCTTCCTAAGGTGCCTTCAGTCAGTCAAGCCCCAGAAGCCTGAAACCACTTGTTCAAGCACATCCCTCAATGTTGGGCTGCCTCCACCAGCACTTGGCCCTGGGAAGGACATCCTTCAGCACATACTCACCTCCCTGCTATGGTGACACTTACACAGACATCCAGATATATACAGTAAAAACTTAGATTCAGACATCCAACCAGACCCTCATATTAGATGTCATTTTAGGTGATGATTGGATTTATAGTTAGGATATGTGCAATGTAGCCATTATTTATGTGTGTGTGCCCACCTGGAATTACTCAGACTATGGGGGTCCAAGATGTTTACACACTCACATTGTGGGGACTTGTTGAGGAGAACAGATGCTGGTTCCCACCCTGTGAATCAGGCTAACTTTAGGTTAAGGATGGAGTAAGAGAAAGGGTTAGGCAAGTAGTGTTTATGGTTAAGGTTAGGGAAATGAATGTAAGACATTTGTGAAGTCCCCACGAGGAATGAAGACAAACGTGTGTTTGTGTATTCATGTATCTTTCTCCCTCTCCCTTTCTAGGAACATACTTACTGATTCAGCCGTCATCACCTACCAGCCAGCAGAATGTTCTCCCTTCCACTGCCCCTCATCTCCATCTTCCCTCCACCACCCTATCTGTCCCACACATTTTTCTCTGCCAAAACCTCAACCTCAGGTTCTGCTGAGTGGGACAAAGGTTGGAGTTAATGAAGAGCACCACACAGAGGACAGGGAGGGAACTGCAGGGTGTCTGGAAAACAGGCTCCAAACACAGAACACACAGTCTGCTGAACGTGTGCCTGCTGACATTAGTAAATATGTTTTGCTGAACACCCTCCAGAACCTGATGATGGAAGCTGTCAGAGGAGAACTTGTTCTTACAGCACACCCACGCTTTGCAACCTTGCCACCAGCTTTTACCAGGTGAAGACAGGCGCACACACACACACACACACATAATATATTATACGAAATGGTTAACATAGAGTGTGTTTCAGTAGAACTGGGAGGATGCCTGGAGCCATGGCTAAGGAGGGGAGAGATCATTTTGAAAGTAAAAAGGAAACTACTGCGACTTAATTTGGAGCCTCACCATCTACCCAACATCCAAGAAATCAATTTCTCTGTTTTTTAAATCCCACCTCTTCTTTTCCACATTGTGTTTCTGTTTCTCCACCATCTTTATTAATGTTTCTTCTTCCTAGCCCTAGGCCTTTGCACTTATTGTGCTTCATATATGCTTTTTGTGTTGACAAGACTATAGAGGAGCATAGTTTCATGTGTTTACATCCAAATTCACTGGAGGGATGGTTGATTTGTACAGCAACTTCGGGATCAATTATTAAAAGACACTGAGGAATCTTTGATTAAACTTGTGAAGTTATTGAGATCAGTGGTTGAACTTTAAAGTGGTGGGAAAGCTCTTGTTAATAGTTAGACTTAAAAGATAGACTATTGTTTATATTGTTTAAAAATATACAATTATTATTATAAAATAAGTGATTTGAAAGCACACACTGGTAATTATTGCTGAAATATCACTTATTTTTACTCCACATTTTGTAATACAGAGAACACACCATCTCACAACAGATTTATCTCTTGAGCTAACTGGTGACCATTTTCCACATGATTATAATAGTCTACAAACCTCTTTATTGTCTCTACTGATTTTATTATGAGGAAATTAACATTTACATATATTGTTAAATATTTATCACAAGCAATTTTTGTTGGACCCACAAAGCCAGGTACTAGTAGATCCTTTGAGCTGTGAACAGCAACATATCCTTTTGGGAATTAATGCTAAGGCAACATTTATTCATTAGTCAGTTAGTTAAAGTATTGAAGTCAGTGTTATGAACAGAGCCATATTAAAATGGAAACAGAAGTCAAATGATGTTTGAAAAAAGTGCATGAAATTGTATTAAATAATCTGATGTGACATTGGATGTCAATATTTTTGCACCAAATTACTTCATTCAAGAAAAGAATTCTTCAGTCTTTCAAATCATTTCCCTTATATTCAAAATAATGCCTAGATTCACACTTTCTCAACTAGAGTCATCTAATATTTTTCTTCCCAAACACGTAAGAAGTACATTTTTAATGAAACGTGAAAGTTTTTATTTATGAAATCTTTTCTTTTACCATGTGCTTAAAACAATATCCACTAGGGACATTTTAAAAACACATTGATATACTGTACATATGTATATCTTTGGGGGGAACGTGGCTTAGAGTTGTTCCGGTGCGTTCACAGACACATTTTCAGTAATTTTCTTTCAACCCAAGATTTCAATATTTTCGACAGTACGTGAAGGGACCACTACCTCATAGACTGTGACTCGCTCTGACGTCTAAACAGGAAGTGCTTGCGCTATATGGTTGATGATATTCAAACGCTCGTTTTCCAGTAGTAAGCTACACGAAAGAGTTTTTACATATGCTACGTTATGTCGTGAAACGTTTAGTTTCTTACAAGATACTAAACCAAGAAATAACGTCACCAGTCATGCAGGCAGAGAAAGAAGATGAGGATGAGCCACCTCCTGAAGAATATGTTGCTCTCTCTGATTTTACTGGAAGTGACAGCGACCAAGTTAGAGCCTAGCAACTGCACACTTATCACCCGAAAGGTTGAAGTCGAGCTTTAGCACTAACTGTGCGCTTTTGTTTCACAGCTTAGTTTTGCCAGCGGGGACAAACTGCTTGTGCACGCCAAGCCTTCATTAGCGTGGTGGTGGGCAGAGCTGCAGGGCGTCAGAGGTTATGTCCCCGCCAGCCACCTCTGCCAGGATGGTACTGAGGAGGAGGACCCGTGGCAGGATGAAGAATACTTCGGCAGCTATGGGACACTGGTTAGAAACCTCAAATAATCACATTTAAAGAAGGTTTTACTAGGGCTGCCCCCTAATAGTCGAATGGTCGAGAGACCTGTCAGTCAACTGAGGCTCTTCTAGTCGAGTCTTTGTTTTTATTTTATTGTTTTATTTTTTGTCAGCCAGTGTGCATTACAATAGAAGGTATCCCCTGCCAGTAGTTTGTTTTCTTCTTCTCCTCATTTTGTTGTGTCAAGCAGCAATTTGGTCAGTACGTCCCCCTTGTGGTGGTGGAGGGAAATACCCACTTCAAAAAGTGGCACTGTCCAATACATAGATGTACATTAAAGAGCCCATGACGTGCTCATTTCCAGCCATTTAATGTTTAATCTTGGGTACGTCTAGATTAGCTTTGCAGCTATCATAACTCCAAATAGTCTAATTATTTCAGCACAATAAAACCCAAGAGCCTCCTCCTGAAAACAAGAGGATAGTTCATGAACACTCACAGCTTCTGTTGCCTGTGAAATCCTTACACCGTCATGTAAGAATTTATATTGTTAGGACAAAAGTCTCCAAAGTGAGAGTTTGCAAGATGTGTATAACCCGATTTGCTTCTGTATAGAAGTACTAGAACATACGTACCTCATTTATGAGCTTTAGGTCACGTCTAAAATGATGATTCACATTATTAACATTGTAGATGAGTAAGAAAACAAAGAAAAGCATGCCATGGGCTCTTCAAGGTTGGATCTATTTAGCAAATTGCAGAACAAGGAGAAAAGGACAAAACCCACTAGGATAAGCCACATAAAGGTGAAATTTGTACTTTATTAGAAGTGTTTTCAAATGTCGTGGTCACTGAAAAGACTCACCATGATGTGGCTGGTTTGTTATGTGAGTCTGAGCCCAGTGACAGTTATGTGACAAAATCCTTTGTCAGGTACAGACCTATGTTTTACATGGCTCAGTGTGTCACAGACACAATTATAAGCATTCCATATGACTTTAGACTGATTCACAGCCATGCATTTCAATGGGGCCTTCGGGGAGAATCCATAAAAGTAAACATGGAGGGACTTGAAACTTACTTGAAATCCATAACAACAAACATCTGTTGTTCTTTTTCATTGGTGTGCCTTAGTGGTGTGTTTAGGGACAACTTTAGAGATTTCAAAGCTGCCGAAAGGCATTACACTCACAAGCTTGGAAAACAAACACGGAGAAGACAGATAAATTAATTTTAAAAAGCCTGAACATGCCATCTGTTCATTGAAGGCTCCCCCCATAAAGACTCGTCAAAACATCTCCTCTGTTTCAGTGAGGACGTTGCTAATTGTTTTTGGATCCCCATTAGTTGTTAGCTTGGTAATAACTGCTCTTTCTGAGGCACAAAATAAAGCTGTGTTGGCCTATGTCTCAACCATGTTTTGAAGTCAGCTTAGTGATCCTGTACTGAAATAGTCTGAGATAAAAACTTGTATTTATTTCTTTATATCTGTTTTTGATTTTATAATGTAATTTTATCCAGTCACCATTTTATTTTATAATTCCACTTTTCATCACACAGTCTGTCGGTCGAGATGACCGAGACATTGAGCAGACAGCGCAGCTGAGTATAAACAATTTTTCAGTTATTTCAAAATTTCTTAGTTGAATATTTTGTGTCTGTATTTAATAATATTTTGTTCATAATGTCATTTTTATGGAATTGTTAATATAATTAAATATGTCTTGTCCACATGTTGTAATTGCACACTGCTCTCCCATCATCTCACCAAATCATATTTTTGATTATATTTTGTCTGCCCATACAGAAGCTTCACTTGGAGATGCTTTCAGATAAAAGCCGCACTGAGGCGTACCGGCAGGTTATCCTCAGCAACAGTGCTTCACTGAGGAGTAAGGTGGTGATGGACCTCGGCTGTGGAACTGGCATCATCAGCCTCTTCTGTGCTCAGCTCGCACAACCCTCCGCGGTAATGTCAGCAGTGTGGGTGCACTCACACTCTTATACACACACTGACAGGGTGTTGGTCAGGTAGTCTGCATTGTGTGTAGGCAGGTGAAGAACTGACACCATGTAGGACTTTCTATCCATCCATCCATTTTCCTTTGCTTATCTGGAACCGGGTCGCGGGGGCAGCAGTCTAAGCAAAGATGCCCAGACTTCCCTCTCTCCAGACACTTCCTTCAGCTCCTCCGGGGAAATGCCGAGGCGTTCCCAGGCCAGTCGAGAGACATAGTCCCTCCAGCGTGTCCTGGGTCTTCCCCGG